GTACACAAGCCCGAGGAGGTACACCTACAATCCCTGCAGCACGTTTGCGTGCTCACAACTGAACTACACGCCCACACACTACAATTCGACTACAGCAGGCGGCATCACCCCCCTTGTCCCGCACTTACTTCACCAAAATGGATGTTTGTCGACTACAGCGTACTGCTGTCTGAAGTGCTGTCTGTACAAAATAACACCATGGTGTATGGTGCACAACAAAGCTCGGGGCATGCAGCTGCTGTCTGAAGTGCTGTCAGAATGGTCCCGTGGACATACAATGAAGAAGAACAACCAACCAAAGCCATCATTGCAATTGACAATTGCCCGAATCTATCCAGATCATCTGTGTTAGACACAGAAGTGTAAACATCGGCACTGACTAGGAATCGTTCCACATTGAAGGGGTCTTCCACGATGCAGGTACACAATTAAGGCACCCGGGTTATCCGCGCCATCTCTGCCGCGTCTCTCTACAAAACCTGTGACGTCATTACACACACCTAACACCTATATTCAGGAAAAAAAACGGAAAATAATTGACAACACAAGAGATGTTTGTCCGTGCGACACGGTTCGATGCCGTCCGCATGCTCCGGTTCCGCTGCTGCTCCGGTGCCGCTGCTCCGGTGCCGCTTCTCCGGTGTCGCTGTGGCCAGTCCTAGCACGACCAAATTCGACCCGCTCCGCTTCGTACACGCTCTCGTTGCTGTCCTTCCCAGTCGGTTCCTCGCTTTCTCCCTCGTTGCACTTAGGATTCTTGGTCTGAAAATTCTCGCGCCGAAGGGTCAACCAGCCCAGTCAGCTCGTCACCACCTGTCCCCTCCTCATTTGATGGCAAAACCAGGTTACTGAGACAGTACAGCTCCCTCTAGCAAGCATAGGGCCGTGTACATAGTGCCCGTCCACCTTTCTGATGGCGTCTGCCTCCGCGCACAAAGATGAGATGGGCATTGCTGCCTGCACCGACGGCCTCGAGGCCCGCGCATCTGCACCTTTGTACCTGACGCACCAGTGCCGACCCAACTCCACCACTACGCACGCCTTGCGGCGGGTGCGCCGTAGCAAGAAGGTATCGGTCCCTTGAGGGTGAGTCTAGCCCTGCTCGCTAGAAAGACCCCCCCCCTCGCTTTGGGTCATGCCTAAGCAAAACCTTGCCGAGGCAGCGAGGGGAAGAAGGGAGAGTAGGGGGTGGTATATTCCGACATATATCGGGCGGGCCGCTCCATTTGAACACCGGCGACACGAGATATCGACATCCACGGGTCCACTCACTGCGCATGCTGCAGCCTGGCACCTAGATCTTCGGCACTGCGGGCGAGGGGAGTGCTGCACCGGGCTTTGAACGTGAGTTATTTCCAAAGCATGGCTGTCAACGCCCACGAGGATGTGTTTTGCTCGATCAAGTGAGGAGCGCACCAATGTACTTAGTCTACCTGGATACGCGGGCTGTACAGCGGTACGCTGCTGCGTTGCCGCTCTTACGGAGGAGGGCGGCCGTCTAGTAGAGGATACGCTTGAGTCTATGGGTGACGACCCCCGAGATATAGGAATGGCTGCTAGCGATGCAAATTGCGCAGCACATACGACCGGTTCGGTGTATGACACAGAGATGTTCGGATTTTTGTTTGAAACATGTCGGTTCATATGCATACGTGTACAGCAGTAGTCTACAGCAGTAGTCTTTACACGGCCTGTGGGACCAGCTCTTGCTTACTGCCTGCTGTGGCCGATTCTTGCATCGGTGGCTCAACGAATGTGCAGCAGTTGTAACTTTGCATTGCACAGGTTTAAGTACCGTGTGTGGTGCATACGCCGCAATGTTTCGTGTGCGCACCGCCGTTTTTGGCATGCCGCACCCCTTTCTGGACCCGCACGCAATGCCAACATTGTACGAAATTGGCATGCTGCTGTCGGTGTACTATGTGCCAGGATGGGTCTCAGCCGGAAAAAACGCGTGGACGTCAAAGTGAACTCGGGAATGTCGTGGAAGAATCACAACGCACTCGCGGATGACCAAGGGAACTTCCGTTTCTTGGAGCGCGTGAGGGAAAGTATCGATGTTTTGCTCTCTGAGATAGCATGGAAGACGGTGTGGCACTCGGTGCATGCTCGGAGATGATCGAGCACGATAGGAGATTCAAGCACGTGTTGGACAGCGAGCATACGGACGTCACCCTACCGGTAAGAGCACCAGACGTACGCGCGGAATTCGGCATACAACCGTAGTCGTCGGTGCCGCCCCGCCCCCCTCCTTGATGCCGTAGCACCCCCCCCGAAAAAAAACAGTAGGGTGAATTTTGCGATTCGGTTGTATGTCACTACCCGTCAGAGTTGACGTGCCCATATTATATCCGTATCTTACCGTATTTGGGACTGAACCCGTGGTCGGCGTTTGGCAAGACGAGTGCATCACGGTGTCATCGGGAGGGCTCTCCAAGTGCTATCATTGTTTCTTTTCCTCCTCAAGCTTCTCTCTTTTTTTTTTCCTTGCTGGAACAGTTGGAATGATCCTCTTGTCTGTGCACACCCCCGGGGTGTATGACCCCCCCGGGTGTATATGGAAAACTCCTACCCCATTTTTCCTATTTACCCCCGAGATGGCACAATTGCAATTCCAGAGGCGAAGTCCATCCCCTTCCAGAGGGGGAACGGCCCCAATGACCACGGTACTTCATGTCTTCGTCTAAGCGCGCAATGTTTCGAGCATGACTAGCCAAAGTAGTCACTGCGAAGCACAAGGTGGGTGTACTTCCGCGAAAAAACTGGTCGCGTTGAATGCCTTTCCAACACCCTGTGTATTGAGTGAGCAATTTGTGCAACCATGAATCGCCCACGTCCGATAGGCACACCATGGGAAAATACGATGCAAACAGAAACCCAACCGCCTCCGGTCGTTTTGTTCAGGGATACGAAGGCTTGTTGAGGCGGCCCATATGCGTGGATGCAACAGCTCAAGCCCTGCTCAACGGGGCGAACAGCGCGGACGGTGGGGGCAGAGGGTTACCCTAAAAACCCGTGGCAACAATGCTTGCTATTTCAACGTCATTGCGTTGGGGGGTTTGGTGCCAAGTGCAAACCCCTGGCGAAACGCTGGGGCTTTCTCTGTCGGTGCGTGTAGTCGTCATCCGGGCGGCCATAGTACAACACGTGAGAAATTCATCAGCGGTCCCGAGTACGGTGGCTTCTACTGTACGCTGCAAGTATAATCCGCGAAAGAAGTCGCGGGCGCTTGGAGGCTCGGGTGTAGCACTCCCGAGGTCTTGGCAGAGAGAGCAGCCCGACTTCTGTACCTGCTTGCCGTGCGAGAAGTCGCTGCCGGTGATTGCATCATACATGCTCAACGGCACTGACTTTACTCCTACGCTTTTTGGCTTGACTTCTTTTTTCATGTTCCAGTCATGCTTCGAGTTAGCGAAGAATCCCGAAAACCACATTTTGTCAAGGCCCTCGGCAGCGAAACAATAGAGGATGGGGTGGTCACCGGTTTACATTTGGAGAGGCAAGAATTGGTTAAGTTTGTTGCGCTTGCGTACTTCGTCAAGATAAACAGTTTGTTTGCTAACACGTTACCGGGGCATCAAGTCACGGGAGAAAAACGGGGAGGGAAAGTTGATGATACGAGGCGGTGAGTCCAAGCGATTCAGGAGCGAACTGATGAAAATTGGTACGGTGCGAGGAAGTTCAGCAAAGCCGCCCGGAACTACGATGCCACCGAGCTTTGCGTTCTCCGGATGTCGTGGTTGGTAAAATACAGGCTTTTCGTTGTGCCGAGTGGTTCTCCAGGTTCGGACGTCTCCGCCAGGTACCCTTCGGGATGGGGTACATCGAGAACACGGAGGTTGAAGGTGGTTGTATGATGTTGATGCGCAGGTTCCCCAAGGTGACACTTTGTCCGGGTGGATTTGAACGGTGTGAGGTGCATGTGTTCATCTGGGAAGAGGAAGTAAGGGGGTCAATGCACAAGCCGCGTGTGCACCACTAAAGAATTTGGCCAGGGCTCAGAGTTGTGCAACTGCAAGCTTACATACCGCGAGGAAGAGACGGAAGAAAGTGAGATGCAGGAAGATCGGTCAGCTGAGGGAGGACTAGTGGACATGGAGATAGTGACAGCGACAGCGACGAGGAACAGCTGCTGGGTATGTTTGGTTCTTCGACCAGTCGGGTTTGGGTGGAGGCGTGGTTTCAGGTAGTTTTATGGAGGATGACGTTGAAGAGTACGAGCAACTAGATGGAACGCGTTGCGGTATCATGTAGGACAACAGTTGAATCTCGTGAGCGATGCGACCAATAAAAGGTCCACTTGAGATATCGATGTATTGTTCGTGTGCCGGTGAGCGAAACGTTTGTGGGAGCTTGCATGAGCACACGTTCAAAAGTACGGCATGGATGGTGGCCCACGTGCTGGCAGGGGCCTTCACTTCAAGAATTATGTAAATCGACCTCAGTTTTTTTTTTGCGCAATAAACACGCTCAAGAGCAATCCCGGATTCATGCCGCCACAACAACACACACACAAAAAACTAAACGCGCCTTAGCACAATCAAAACAAAAACATGACACCAGAACTTATTGCGTGCACCGATACTGCCACACCCATACATTTGCTGGTATGCTTAGAGCACGCCCCGAAAACATGCTCAACTTCGATCGGTGCTCAATCATGTCGCTCTCCGACTACCCCCCATCCCCGAAATAAATGTCTTACGACACCTGCATATCTACTCCCACAACCAATGATTTTTGGGAAAAGTTTGGCGGGGACGTTACACCTTGTACATGTCCCAACCCAACCAACTTTTTTCGAAAGCCAAACTTGCACGTCCGACCATACTGTGCTCGAAATTGCAGCCGTGCTATTCAGGACAGAAAACAAGCCTCGTCCTGTTGCGGCAGCTCATTTCCTGAGTATACCACACCCCCCAAAATTCGCCAGTCTTCGCATTGTTCGCACGCGTGTATTTGGCTCTGCGTAGAAACACACACACAGACGGGGGGTTCGTTTACAGCCAACCACCCCGGTCGGCGCAAGGTTCCAGGAAAAAAATGGGCATTTTGAACGCCACGCCTTTTGTCGCCAACGACATGGCGGCCTTGACAAAAGTCAGAGCCCTGCTGTACGGAGGGCTTATCACCACCCACTCAGGCCTTTTCCCAGAGTAAGCTGCGAGAAAGTTTTCCGGGAATAACTCCAAGCTTGCGTCGAGGTTGGTATCCGCTGGGCGCCTGTTATCGAGAACAAGAGCAAAAAAAAAATCAGCGATCGCGCACATGATACGGAAAATAAAACCATGTGACAGAATGTTGCCGTTTCGCCAAACGTGTGAGACTCTCCCTATTCAATAAAGACACCCACTGGGTTTACAATAGCAACGGTTATGTTCGAGAAGGATGCCCCCCATACGTGCTACAAGGACTGTGGCCCGTGCCTGTCAAAATTTCACACGACCTTGTGCGGTTGAGGCCATGCGGTACGGAATCTGTCTGTCAACCGTAGATTTTAGCTTTGCACATCGGACCACTTGGGACATATGGCAACAGCTATGACTAAAAACTAACCCATGAAACATCTAGTCCCAACGGTTATTAACGTCGGGGGTTAAGAACAACCCGGAGCGAACTCACTTAAAAGAGCGGGGCGAAATTTTTGTATCCATGAAAAACGCGTGGCATTCGCTTTTGTATTACTCGGTACCTGCGGCACAACGTGATGTTCACGTGCCACGTCGGGCCTGAACAGGACCTACCATCAGGACAAGTATGATTTTCACATTTGAATTGCCGCCGGGAGGTTCTTTGTCGGCTGCCCCCTGTGTTTTCTGAACATCATTGTGCAAGGAATTTCTCCTGCTGCTGGGTACTTTCAAGCAAAACTCACACACAAGTACAACGCCCTTACCCCGAGCTCACGTCGTTCGTGAGAATCTCGCACGTGGATCGAAGACGGGTCGCGACGGCGTCCGTGGGCCCACCGCACATGTCCAAAACGCATCCCGTGATATCCACAGCACCCAGCAAAGCATCCACCGCCTCAGGCGAAGTGCAGCACCTATTCAAGCCATCGACACCTCAAGTGCGTTTGTGGTTCAGGAGCAGTCCTCTAACCCTTGGCATGACCAGGCGTCCGAGCTGCCTTGCGCGCTCGCCGGTCTTTACTCCGGTCCTTGCTAGCCCTTTGCTCGTGCTTTTTGTACAGCTGCAGCAAGCAAGCAGGACGTTTACACAGTATGAGGGCGCTGACGCCTGAATTCCCCTCCTCCAAGGCCGGAAACTGGTTTACGATGCCGACCTCCTCTACGAAAGCCCGGACTTAGATGCTGGTCCTTGGCCGCATGTGTCGGAAGGCAGAAGCTTCTCCTTCGCGGAGGCATGCGGTACAATGGGTCCCAGTTGCCGACATAGGAATACAACCTGTTCAGAATCGGAAAACACAAAACCGAGAGTGGTTAGACAAACGAAAGAGCATTTGAAGAGTTGTAAAGACTGCAGCTCATCACTTCATAGCTTGTGCGGCCGCAGCGGCAGCACAGACTCACGACCGGCCGTAGCAGCTGCGTCGGTTGAGGAAGTTCCGCCGCGTTTTGAGGCACCGGCGCGCGAAGGTCTGTTTCGGCTTTCACGAAGCTGGTCCGCAATTCTAGAAACGATATATTTGGTCTATGCTTATCAAACACTCCAGTCTCCGAGCGCTGTTCCATTTGGTCAACTTTACGGGGGGTCAACCTGTCGTCAAAGTTCGCCTCCCAGAGCGGCGGAACAACGGTGCGTAAAACAGGCCGCCAGACGACTTTAGGTCTACGACTCGGTTTTCTCCCACCCAAGCAAACCCATATCATACAAAATGACTCTCACATGTACTATGTGACCTTCTTGAACATGTTGCCCAGTTTCGTCTCCATCCTCCAGCTGAGCGTCGAGTACTGGCGTGCTGAAAAAGCAGTGTCGACGAGGCAACCCCCATGCACGCAGAGTGGGCTCCGCAGAAGTTGTATTTTGCGCATGGTACCTGATCTCTGTTCAGGCCTATATTTTTTCGTTTTCTTATGGGAGCAACACGTGTGTGCTGGTCCCAGAAAGTGGCTGCTGTGGTCCGGGAAAATCAGTACAAGCAGTATAGGTGTCCCGATACAATATAGTGCCGGTATTTTCTTTTTCTATTCTTTTTTTTTTTGTCTTCACTTCGAATCAGCGTATCGTTGTTGTTGTTGTTGTCTTCACATTAAAAACCTTTCCGATCTCTCTCTACCCAGTACCTTCGTATGTCCGTACTGATTCAACACTCGACGCGGTCGATTCCTGTGGTCGCAGGTTAACTTACCCTAAAAAGGTACACTCAAGTAAACTGGCCCCGAGGGGTCCGCAAGTCAATAGAAATCAACGACAGATATTCTAGAAACCTCCACTCCCTCTGCGCGCTATGCGAGGTATCAACTGAGACTAGGAGTCACTGTCATGGGCCGGAGAGAAAGAGGTACCCCCTTGGTTCAATCTTGGTACAGTCGTGGGCCTGGTTTAGCGGTTCCCTGTTTAGCGGGATGCCCTGAATAGCGGTTATAAAATCTCGTGACACGGCTGCACCCCGGTTTAGCGGTCAACCGCTAAACCGGTCGTGCCCTCAATAGCGGTTATTTGACATGTTTTCAGCCACCAATAGCGGTTATCGGTTCAATTTTTGCGGGGACCTGCATGTAGTGCGCGCTTCGCTTGCACATACTCACAGCACAGCGACTTGGTCAGCCTGTTAGCAGGTCGATGCTCATAATAAATAGGACACAGCGAGACACACACACATACACCAAACGACGCAGGGCCAGAGAAGAATCGCCGAAAAATAGCTGAAGAAACGACGATGAGAGTGATGGTGGCGAAAGCAAGGAGGATGATGGTGAAAACACTCCAAAACGAACTCGAGTGCAAGGTGGCAGTTTTCCTCTGTTGCTACCTACCGTGTCTGTCCTTACTTCGGGTATAGCTTTTACCTGCACCATGCCGCCCCCTCACGAGGTCCCAGTTAATGACATATAGAAGTGTTCTGTGTTTTCAACCACGTTGAGACTGACCACGACGTCTTTTCATTGGTCAGCCGGTTAGCGGGTTCGATACTAATAATCAAGACACACTCCATGCGGCGCGTGGATGGAGAACTGTGCAAGCTTCTAGATGCGGCACGAGTCCAAGCGGCACGCATGATTGTAAAGGTTGCTGTGGTGGCCGCATACACGGCATGTGTGTGGGGAGGTGGAGGTTCCGGATGAGAACGAGATGCAACCGGCGTACAACCAAGAAGGCGCAGAGTTCCCCTCACTTCTCAAATCCGCCCAAGCGCCAAGAGGTGTAAGGTGGCTTTCTAGCACCAGGAGCGCGTAAAGAAACAACTCGCGCTGCAGCTACACGACAACAGCCCCACACGCGGCTCTACTTTGGCTAGAATCTCGGGGTTTTGAAGCTTCTTGACCAGAAGGTAGCGCACGCAGAAATAGTGCGCACAGGAAGAGATCGCCGAAGCTTTGCGTAAAAGGGCGCGAATGACGAGGTTGTTGAAAGTTTTCCGGTACGTACATAGAGGGGGGCCTAATCCCTCCGACGACGACACGACGACCTAGAGCTAGGGCTAGATACCACCGCACAATTTGACGGAGCGAAGGGCAGGGGGGTGATGTCGCCACCACCACACTCGGAGGTATCATCGGATTTTGACCAGCGTGGAGAGCGCGGAGTCGTGTGGTGCAAGCGAAGCAGCACACTATTTCGCAAGGCAAAAATGGCGTTCCTCGCAGCGCACGCCGCTCCTCCAGCGCGCAAGGCAGATACCAGAGAGATTGCTTTGGGTGAAGAATGATCGATACGCGACACATGGCAGAAATGAGATGCTCAAGCACGTGGTTGATTGCCATTGCGTTGTCACAAGTTTGTCTCATCACCTACTTCACTTCGTTAGAGACGCGAACGATTTTCCAGTCTTGATGAGGGGCATACAGTCCAGAAGGGAGAGTAACCTTCGTGCTTTGGCGAATTAAAATGCATTGCGGCGTTGTCCTTCATTGGCTCGTTCGGCACCTTCGTATGACTGCTGCAATGATACGCATGGCCCTATCAATATCAGCTCTCCACGCTGTTATTGTAGGGCAAAAATGGGCTTTTTCCCGGTTTGGCGGTTCATGACGGCTATTAAGCCTCCCGGTTTAGCGGATAATGACCGCTAAAGTGGTTTTGCGGCGATGCCCTGAATAGCGGTTATGAAAATTCGTGACACTATGGACCGCTAAACCGGGCCCACGACTGTACTTCACAACGCAAGCAGAGACAAGGCCATCTGGCACAGAAAAAGAGAGAAAAAATAGAATAAAAAGGAAACAGTAAGAAAAAGAGAAAATAAAATGAAAATAAAATGAAAAAGAGCGAGGACAAAAAGGGACCAGACCGAAAATAACAAGAAATAAGACGCAGAAACAGGCACATGATGGAGAGACCACTAACGAACAAGCAAACACGCAAACATGGCCACCAACAAGCGATACATTGTAATGGTACGTCATCACTACTGGAGGGTTGGTGCAATGGTGCAGCGTTGGGGGTGGGGGGGGGAATTGGCTAGAAGAAATTCAATCCGGCACGCATCGTGCCACTCGGTCCGTCTCTTCTTGTTTGCTTTCTTCCCTCGCCGTCTCGTCCGTCTCTTGCCCCCCTCCCGCCCCATTGGTTGTTGGCTTGTGGTTTCGTTTGAGAGCTCGTTGTCGGCTGGCCTCTTCTTCCTTCTCGTGCCAGGAGGTCATGAACCTCTCAGCTCCCTGCAGCACCGCCGCATGCCAGGGTACTCCCCCCTCCACCTTCGCGACTTCCGTCCACTTTAATTTCGGTGCCGTGTCTTTCGGTACGGGGATTCCGAGACAACATGGCTCGGTTTTTGTATGTCCGTGGTCGGCCCCAAAAGCCTTCAGGTCGTTGAGCACACACTTCGGCCAGTTCTGTTCCTGTCCCCCCCTACGTGGCTTCTCCCCCCCCGCCAGCTCGCCGAGCATCAGTCGTTTCGGGAGTCGCCCGTCCGGCTGCCTTGCCAGCGCTCCCGCGAACAGTAGGCGTCGTTGTCGGATCGTGGCTTCAACGCTCTGGCATTCGACCCTCTTCAGCATCTGGGCGTAAGAGAGCTGCCTGTAGGTGTCTTTCTTGCGCTTGTACCCGATAACTCGAAGGAGTAGTCGGTGGTGTGTCGACCGCAATGTCTGATAGTGGCCGCTGAGTGGTGACCATGTCATGCAGCCGTACAGCAGTGCCTCCATCGCCTCCGCCTGGAGGAAGCGGATCTTGAGTCGGAATGGCGCTTTCGGTCTGTCGAAGAGCTCCTGGCCATATCGCCTGAGGCACGCCCACGCTCTTCTGCTCCTGTAGTTGATCTCCCGGGTGAGGTCGCCATGTTCGTTGACGAGGCCACCGAGGTACCGGAACTCGGTCGTCTGGGCGTATTTCTGTCCCGCGGCTTCGATGGTCAGCGGTGCAGGCGGGGGGGGCTGTGATGTTGTAGTCGACTTGTCCTTCAAGCGCATCAGGAGCGTCTCCGTCTTCTTCTCCGACACCGTTAGCCCGAACTCTCCGAACACCTCAACAATGATGGTCATCATTCTCGCCAGTCCTTCTGCAGACCTCGATGCGACGCCGGCATCATCGGCATACAGCATCCCCCATACTGCCCTCCGTACTCGGTCAAGGGGTGTCTCCTCCCCCCCCCCCGCTTCCGTCTTCCCCTCCTCCAAGCACACCAGGTTCCGCAGAACAACAATATCCTCGCTGAATCGGATAACGGCGACCTCGAGGACCTCGGCGAAGAAGGTGATGAACAGGAGTGGGGATAGCACACATCCTTGTCGCACGCCCTGTGTGACGAAGAACCAGTCCGATAGTTCTCCGTCGTCCATGCGCACCCGGGCCCGCATTCCATCGTGGAATTGGCGGATGACTTTGATTAGCTTCGCGGGAATCCCGGCCCTGGCCAGCACCTTCCATAGCATCTCTCGGTCCACCGAATCATCCGCCTTCTTCAAGTCGACGAAGCACATATAGAGCGGTATTTTCTTTCTCCGCCCCAGCTCCTGGAGGCGGCGCACGACGAACAGCATGTCGACGGTGGATCGCCCGGGTCGAAATCCGCACTGTTCCTCCGGGAGGATGTTGTTGGCTTCGCAGAAGGCGCTTAGACGGTTGGTGATGATCTTGATGGGGACCTTGCCTACGTGAGATAGTAGCGAAATCCCCCTGTAGTTGTTACAGTTGGACCGGTCACCCTTCTTGTACAGCACCTTGATGGTTGCATCCTTCCACTCTCGCGGGATATCTCCTCCGTTCCACACCTTGACGAGGATGGTATGGAGGTGTCTCAGGACAACGGATTCGTCGTCATCGATCTTGAGCAACTCGGCAGGGAGGGAGTCATGGCCGGGTGCCTTCCAGTTCTTGAGGCCTTTCGCTGCCCGTGCCACCTCCTCGAGGTCTGGCACCTCTCCCAACCGTTGAGTGTCACGTGTCGCTGGCCGCTGCGTCACTCGTTCGATGATGTCTGGGTTCAGGGTGGGGGATTTGGTGTTGAGTAGGGTGCTGAAGAATCTCGCCCATCGTTGGAGGATGTCGTCCCTGTTCCGGAGCAACACGCCGTTCTCATCCGCGACGAACTGCTGTCCCCCCGCTGGTCTCCCGCTGAGGCCCACTGATCTCTTGAGGTGTTGGTACAGTCCTCTCATGTCGCGATCTTTGTAGATTGCTTCGAGTTCAGTCACATATCCGTCCAGGTGGGCATAAATGCCCGTTTCGACTGCTGTAGCCGCTCCCTTACACGCTGCTTTGAGAGCTCTCCACGTTGCTGAGTTCCAGTTGCCCCTCATCGCCCGGCGCGCTTCCCGCCGTTTGGTAAGGGCCTGCTCCAGCGCTACTCTCGTCGCTGGGGT